GCGCTGAGGTCTGTTGCGCGAGTGCAGTGCTGGCTGCCGGAAGATCAGCTCGCACGTGTCCAACAAGGCAATGAGCTGAGGGGTTTAGGGACATTGGGACATCATGCAAGTTGATGCAACGTGTGTGTGTGTGGGCCTTGATGTTAAGCTAAAGGTTTTGGTATCAGCATTGCAGGGGCACCGGGGGCACTTGACTGGCCTGGTGCAACGAATCTCCAGTCAAGATGCCAGGATATGAGGTCTGATGAACCTCACATACCTGCTTAGTGTTTGCGAGGGAATGGCAACCAGGCTAAGCCAAAAAGCCTGGCATGCCGGTGACAGAAGCGAGATTCACTAAGGTTCAACAACCATCGTAGTAGTGGCAAAAGCCTTCTACCAATTTCGCCGCCACCGTCTCCGCGCACGGTCCTCGTTCACAAACCTGGGGGTCACGCCCCTTTTCTCTTTTTTCATTGTCATCTCGTGCAGCACCCCAGGAAAACGTACCTGCTTTGTTCTGCGTCTGGGCCCCGTCGTGGGCAGCTCGCGGGACCCTCATCCTCATTTTCACCTTCATCTCTTGTCGTGCTGTGTGATTCCGTCGTGTCTCACACACCGAACGTACACCCTCACGGATCATGTCAGTCCTTTGGTCTGGCATACTTGGTACCAAGAATTCCATCTCATCTCCATTATCATCATCATCAACAACATGATTCTGTTGCATGTGGCCTACCATGAGTGCGCCCAAGTTGTCGAGAGTGTGTGTGGGTGTGCCATGGCCGGAAAATACCAGGACTAGGCTGCAATAATGATTCGAGTTATGATCACAGAATGAGGGTGATGCTCCTGCTGGTTGTCAACGGTCAGTGAAGGTGACGATATCTACGATGGTACCTGATGGAGATTTCCATGACCTCTTTGAAGACGGTGGTGGTGATGCGGAAGCGCTAGCATTTGATGATGCTGCGAGCGATGAAGGTGATGATGATGTTGGTGATGGTGACTGTGCAGATGATAGTTGAAGGTGGTAAGATGGTCATGCCGCTGCCGCTGATGACAGTGACGATGCTGCTGGCCCTGCTGCTGATGCTCATCTGTAACATAGCCGAATAAAGTATCGAAGTCGTCGCGGGCAATGATCATAGCAGCTTCGTCACATTGTGAACCTCCTAATCTGCCATATGCCCTCATCACTATGACCCCGCCACCACCTGACTGACCTTCACCGACATCAACCACCACCATCATCATCATCATCATCAGCATCATCAGCATCATTATCATTGTCATCATCATCATCATCATCATCAGCATCATCATCATCGTCATCGTCATCATCATCATCATCATCATCATCACCATCTGCACATCTACTGTTCGGCCTGCAGGCAAGCGCTCTGCTGGTGAGTTGCTCGAAGGCGCTTTCGTTGGGCGGAGGAGGTGGGCTGATGGTACGCTTGGTTGCTGGTAGATATTTTTTCAATCCTGAATTCGGGACTTATTGCCGCTTTGGATTCAGGGCTTAGTGCATTGCAGTCCATGCTCAAAAAATTGCCACTTTGCTTGTGCCATGGGATCCGCGGTGCAGCAAACCACAGTCCCTTTCTGCGGTGTTTGGGAAGGCCTCGGATCTCCTCGCTGGTGTCCAGGGCAGCGCCAGCGGTCGAGATGAGCAAAGAGGCGCAGTGTCCATTTGGTCGCTTTTTTTGGCGTGGGCCAGTGGCAAGAAAGTACTCGAATGATGTCGAGTACCGTTGAGGCCATCTTGATTGCACAAGTCCTGATGCAAAAAAGGCCATCAAGATGGGATTCCAAGCCAGAGGCATTGAAGTGGAAGTTCGCGAAGGCCAGGATGTAGGTAGAGCGCTGAGGTCTGTCGGTCACCAGATCGAGTTCTGAATACAATATAAAAGACTATCTGAAAGGAGCAGATGGAAAGGGGACGGAGATGCAGGTGCCGTCCTTGAACGCCAGGAGCGTGGCCTTGAGTGTGCTAAAGGGATGGAAGATGAAGGGCTTTCCTTGCCTGCCAGAAAACCCCGCAACGCAGGGCACTTTTGTTCATGGGGTTGTGGGTGGAGCATTCGTCTCAGTCTGGCAGGATAGTTCTGAACTACCCCGCATCTGATCAATCGACTGCCTTGGAGACGATTGTTGAGTGCACGTCTGCCCGAGGGCGGCGGCAGATGCTTGACTTCCCATCGCCAAGCTTTGGTGATAGCCATAGGTCCCATAGGTGTAATTTCGGGAGTTTGCTCCGGCACCTGAGGATACTGGAGGTCTTGAATGCAGAGCTTGGGTGACAGAGCCCTGGGCGTCTTGAAGTTCTCGAAGGCCTAAACCCAAAACCCCAAACCCTATAAGGTAAGTAGGAGGCAAGAAAACCCTATAAGGCATGCCGCTGTCGGAGGCGAGTGTGAGTCGGACAGGTGTGCACTTCATCGGGTGCCACGCTAAGGCCAAGCCACGGTGTTGAAATAAGCAGTGACACCAAAGTGCATTCCTTTTGCTTCGAGGAGGTCAAAGATGCAGATCGAGAATGATGTTTGGACGGAGCGAGTCAGCTTTGACGATCGAGCAAAAGCCGAACGAGGGCAGGCAGAAGTTGGTTTCGCCTTGGCCATGGTGAAGTCTGGCTTTCCTGAGCGAGCTGCATCACAGCCGTCAAGCCTGCAGGATGCCGAGACCTAACTTGGTGGTGCTGACTGCTGGGCTCGCACCGTGGCCCCACAACTCCTTCTCCCTATCATAGCCATCACCGGCTTTGCGTGGAAGGGCAAGAAGGATCGGCAGGGCGGGGAAGCACAAGAAGTGAGGGCAGCATCCTAGGCCGTACGCGATCGCCACATTTTTCGATGTATTGTTGAAAAGCTGCACGGTGCTTCTCCTTGACCTCCGCTGACGGTGATGCGTGTTAGGAATTGCTCGGTCTCATCTGGGGGTATTGGACAGCCCACAGATCCATGTTTCATGAGGATTGAGTGCTTCTGACTGTCACTGCCAAAGATATCGTGAGTTTTGTTTAAATGGAGATGGTCGATACTTGCGTAATTCAGTTCGTTTGCTATCTCGTTTCGCTGAAAATTTGACCGGCTCAAGCCCATGCGGCATGGACCTTTGGTCCGTTTCCTTGCAAACGACTGAACCGTTCATCGAACTGCCTTTAGCCTGCCATAGTCCTGTTGGCCTTCCTAAGGGTTTGTTGTTTAGCAGGGTCATTGTCATTGGTTGTTGTGAGGTTTTATCGGGTTCGTCTTGTGTGGAAGCTTGCCTGCCTTGTGCGAGAGTGAGAGTCGAAAGTCTCATCAGGACAGTCGCCTCATCTCGTGCAAAGCCCACGCAGCCCAGGTCCATATGCTCCCCGGGAAGCTCGTACTGCTGGCTGTCGGGGTTGCCCTGTCGCGATCTGCGGGACAAGACTGTGAGATTCACGGAAGGCTCGGCCAGGGCCAGGGAAAGGAGGTCATAGAGTTTCCTGCTGAGGTCGAGTATAGTCTGGCCATGATACTCTTCTCCGTGCCTTAACCCACTTCTCGTCGTCGTGTTGGTGCTAGTCAGTTCCGATCGTTCTTGCCAGATTCTTATCCCTTTGGTCATCTTTACTGGGGATGGTTGCACAGTGATTTGGGGCTCATGCCAACTGGAAGCATGATGTGGGAGCAAACCCCTGCGACCTTTCGAGACCTCCAACTCTGATTCAGAGAGTGGGACCTGGTGTGCACGGTCTGCAAGGCTGGAGGATGCCGGAGATGCCAGCGTTTTTCTTCAGCAAGATTTCCACTTGAGAAAGGATGGGCTTGCAGCACATGCGGTGACAATAGATATCAGCCTCTCGTCTTACTTCATGGTCCTGTGTAGTCGGGTTTGAACTCGGTGTCGCGATCGGGCGGCCGCAGGCATGCAGGTATGCTGACGGGTTTGCGCCAAGCCGTGTAATCTTCCTGAGGTGAGAGCCATGCTGCTGGACGTGAGTCGGATCCACCTAACCACTCTGGGGCTGTTATGCCAATCTTGGGCGTGTGACTTGGCACCGACCAGATTGATTCCCTCCTGCCAACTGAGACAGTCTGCTTGCGACCTCGCCCCTGCGACTGCAGGCAACAATTGCTTCCAGTAGCAGTCGCTCAGTCGTCGTCGTGGGAGGAGTACGAAGTGGTAGCAGTGGCGGTGGTAGGGGTGGTAGTGGAAGTGGTAGCGGTAGTTGTAGTGTTGGTGTTGGTGGTAGTGTGTAGCAGTAGTCGTAGTTGCAGTCGCAGTCGCAGTTGCTGTCGTAGTCGTAGTCGTAGTAGTGATAGCCGTGGTTGTAGTCGTAGTCGTATGAATATGAGCAGTACTCGTCGTCGTCGTCATCGTAGACATAGTAGTGGTAGTAGTAGTAG